GACACTCAAACACACACACCTCCCTGACTGCATCTGTGGAGGATGCTAGGAGCAGCTTATTGTTCTAAATGCCGGTAAAGGCATTTCTCCTGCTTTTTCTATACACACTCTATCTCAGGATAACCAAATAGTTGATGAAGGAGTGTTTTACTTTATAGAAAATATCCTAGCTAATAAATAAAAGACCAATGATAAAGTCAGAATATCATCATTTTATAACCTATAATAACATACGGAATTGAATATAGGTAATTACCAATGTCCAGTAACACCAGAGAGACACCAGCAATAAAGGGCCTCCTGACAGAAGTATATCATACCACTCTCTATAGAGCATTCTTGCCAAAAAAATGTATTTGTGCATGTTGTGTCTGTGTATGAGTGAATGTGTGTATCTCGAACCTAAAATCAGATGAATATTCTAGATTTAACTACCAATCTGCAGATCAGCAAGTTATGTGACAATAAATTCCAGATCATAGGAAACTGCACGAGACAGACGACACAGTTTTTCAACAAATAAACTGCAAGAGGGTAAAGAGTGACATGATAAGACACCTAGAATAACAAGTACTTTAGTCTATATTACACTGCTGTAACAGAACGCCACAGATGGAGTAATTTATGATGAACAGAGTTTATTCGGCACAAAGTTCTGAAGGCTAGGAAATCCAAGAGGGTAACACTGGTATCTGGAGAGAGCCTTCATACTGCAGTATCCCATGGCAGAAGGCAAAAGAGAGCAAAAGTGTGCAAGAAAGAAAAAGGGGGCCGAGCTTGCTTCTATATATAGCCCACTCTCACAAAAACTAACCCATTCCCACAATAACAACATTAATCCATTCATGAGGGCATAGCCTCATGACCTAATCACCTCTTAAAGATCCCACTTGCCAAAACTGTTACATTAAGGATTAAGTATCCACCGCACGAACTTTGGTAGATACATTCAAACCATGACAAGAGGGATATATTAATCAATGGCAATTCATGAACCTAGTTTGAACAATTTATCAATCAAAAAATATATGTGGATATGTGGATATATATGTGTTTCTATATACAATATATATGTGTATATATATATGTTTGTGTGTATACATGTCTATATATGTACCGTGAACTACAGCATTTAATGATATTAAGAAATGGCTGATTTTTTAATCTGAGGATGATATTGTTTTAAAGAAAAAAGACTCCTTACCTTCTGGAAAAATATAAAAAAATATTCATAAGTGAATTGATACAACATGGGATTTGCTTCAGAATTTAGAGGAGTGGTGAATAAAAGGAGAATTGAGTGACAGTGAGCTGAGATTAGTTTGAATGATAGTCATATAGGCATTTATTGTAACTACCCTTCCTACTTTTGTAAAAGACTAAAGTTTTCTATAGAAAAGTTTAAAAACCATATGAACACAAACAACAAAAATCAATTGTTACTAATATTAACAAGCTGGTAACAGAACACTGATATCAGACTATACATTCTAGCTTAGGAGGCCACCATGATCACCTGAGGAGTTTTATAAAATATAGTCTTTGAACCACCACTGTCTTAATGAACCTCAAAGATGGAAGGAATTGTGCCATTTCCCTCAGGACTGCAGGAGTGGGGAAAAGAGATTGAGAACCACTGTGTAAACACTTTAAGGGTACAGAAAGTATATTATTCACCCAGTGTTTATCTCAATGCCTAACACTTAAGAAGTACTTAAGAAACATAAAGTGAATTAATTAAAGATCCACAGATGTGCAAATGAATAGGCAAGCTTAATAGTAGCTAACTGCTAGATATGAAAAAAGCATCATTCATATTTGATATTTAAAAAATCACTCAGGTTATAGTTTAAAGAATATGGCTCTCTGTTTTGAGTGGAATGGGTTTCCTTCATAAAGCCACAGACTAGTCACTTCAAACAGCTACAAGTAAACACCCAGAATAAAAATAGTTTTAAATACACAATTGGGTGGGGTGTGGCTAGAAAATATTCTGATTCTACAATCTGTTTTGGACCAGACAGTGCTTCTTATGTGACTAACAAAGCAAACAGCAGTCAGATTCCTTGTGCTGAAATAAGCATACTATTTGCAAAAAGGGTTGGCTGCCCAAGGCTTATTCGATGAAGACACCACATTTTCCAAAACTAAAGGGGAATACAGAATGACAAATACCCAAATATATTTACATATCCTAAAAGAAGGCATACAACCGCCCGATATGGTTTTTTTTTTTATGTCTCTAGTAAGTACTAACCGGAGCCAAGTCTACCATCTGACCATGGAGAACAGCAGAATACCTCAAACACAAGAATAATCTAATTTTAAAACTGGGAAGAGCTTAGAAACCACCTAGTCCAAACTTTTCATTGTGTTGATAAAAAACAGACACCCAGAAAGGTTAAAGTAAAAAGCTCTGAAAAGTGTTGCAATAGCCACAGATGAAAAATTGGTATACACAGGTACACAGCGCTATATATTAAGAGCTGAGAATTAGTCTTCTGAACGTTCACATGGATGATAACAGGGTATTGGTCTCAATTATAAGCAAACAGAAGTAAGTGTGTGCATGTGTGTCACCATATATACACAAAAAACCTAAAATATATATTTTTAATAATTCCTTTCAAAACAAATTCTTCAATCTAGCATTCAAAAGCATCCATAAAGTTACCTCCCTCACTTTTTCAAAAGGTTGTCCAAATGAGCCATAAGACAGTAGAAGGCAGGTGTTTTCTCACATTTATCTTTTGTGGTCTCCTACAGATGTAGCAGAGTACATATTATAATTACAAAAGCTATTCCACATATAATTTCCAAATGATGAAAGAATGATTACAATATAAACTTTCCTATTCTGTTAGTCTGAACTGCTATAAAAAACATATTTTATATGTATCTATGAATATTATACAGAGACATATATAACAATGTAGATTTTTTAATACTTCAATTAACAAAATACTTTAAAGCGAGAGGAGAGAGGCAAATAAGATGCCTTATCCATTTACATTTCCATAACGGGCGATACAAGGCTTTGTTTAAAATACAGAAAATCGCTTGCAGGGGAGAGAAAGGGAAAAGTAAAAAAGACAAATCTTTCTTTCATTCACTGGTCAAACTTTCAATTATTTTAATTATTGATTAATCCTGAATCCATGTTACTTTAATTCTATGGAGGTAGAAAAATGATGTGTCTATGCCCGTGTATAAAATTGTCCTTCTCAATCAGTTCACCTGTATAGTCAATTTGATCTTGATTCAAAATGATGAAATTAAATAATATAAAAAATTTGGGTTCTCAACTTCCTATCTTTATTAGATTTTTTAGGATCCTAAAACCTGATTTTAAAGTTTTCCTAATATCATTAAACAGACTCTACTGAAATTGACAACCACAGTTTTTACTTCCACCTTGAGGAAAAAGTATTTCTAATTGGGATGATTCCTAAAGGAAACTGTAAGTTAAGCCAATAATTTTTTTTTAAAGCTGAAAGCAAAGTTTGAAAAATTTTTTCTCCTTAAATAAACACAGCAATCTTATGTAAATTAACATAATATAAGATTATCAAATTAAGGGGTTTTTGCAAACTCTACTGCAACTCTAAAGTAAATCCAAATTTAACAAGAAAATCTGAAGTCGTTTACTGAATATATTGTAGTGTTGTAATAAGGAAGCTAATTCTTTCAGAATAATTATATTGCTAACTCTACTATCAAATTCACAGATGTCTTGCCCTGTCTGAAAAATTTAAAATATTTAATATGCTATCATATTTTAAATTTCTCTTATTAACTTCTGAAGGCTTACACTAAAATTCTGACATGCAAAACCACATGCCTACATTTTCACCATTTTGTTTCTTTTGCTTAAGCCTAAAAAGTAGGAATTGAGTTTAGCTATTTTCACAAAAATTTACAAACATTAATAGATACATTGATAACTTTATATAATAACTCAATAATTTAGATGATGGTTTAAATCCAGTACTCCATTCAAGGAATTCTTTATCCACTTTCATGTACTACTAAATATTATATGATATTAATCAAATAACATAAGAATGTGTTTTTCAAAAATAAAAAGGAGGTATCTTCATTCTGTCATCAACCAGTCTAAACACTAGGGTAATAACTAATAAGATAAAATCACAGAAAAAAATCGTCCCTGGTTAAAACTATTAATATATATTTAAGACAAAGGTTTTATTTTTCAATAAGAAAACAAGGAAAAGGAGAGCCCAGCCTGATCTTGTGTGCCTGCCCAATAGAACTTTCCACCATAATTACTGCTTACCATCTTGGAGGGGAGGAGCTTAAGCTCAGGGTAACCTCATGTACTAAGGGAAAAACAGTATAAATACCACAGGGCAGCTCTGGAGAGGCACCTTCTGCACTGCTGACCTGGGCAGAGGAGGCTTCAGAAAGCTGCCAAGGCACCATTTCCAGGAACTCCCAGCACCCAGGTAAGTGTATGCTCACTGGCGGACTTCCATGTTAACTTGCTTGGAAACAAACTTCAATAATTTAAATACTTGAGTTTTCTCAAATATTACAAGTATTAAAGTGATTTTTAAAAATATGGTTTCTACTAAAATGCACTCAGAAAGTTCTTTTTGCATCAGTCTATAGATGATAATCCTAATAAAACCATATTTTAAAAATTTGCCCTAATCTGAATTTCAGTGTATTTTGAAACTATTGGATATTTCAGGCTATGTCAAAGATCCTGGATTATTTAATACAGACATCCAATCCTAATTTCTGTTTCTTTTTTTTTAGCTAAATCATTGTTTTTCACTTGATTACCTGAATATAAATAACTAAGACATATATTTAGATTACTAAATAATGTTCTCTCATTTACTTATGGCACATATTAAAAATATATAGGAAAGGTTAAAAAAGTAGATAACTGTATAAAGTACTCATCTGTGAAACAGAATAATAAAATAGGTTAATAATAATGCAGTATAAAGTTATTATTTTCTATTTTTCAGAATCCATCTGAGAATATGCTGCCACAAATCCTGTTTTTGCTGCTAGTATCCTTGAACTTGGTTCATGGAGTGTTTTATGCTGAACGATATCAAACACCCACCGGCATAAAAGGCCCACAACCCAACACCAAGACACAGTTCTTCATTCCCTACACCATAAAGAGTAAAGGTAAACTGAATTGTACATTTTGTTCTATTAACAAGTTGGTTGTTGCTTTCTACAATCTTAATAATCTCTTTAACAAAATGCATTTAATGCCGGTGTTAAATTATTTTCAAGCTTCTGATTTAGCCCAAATTATTACAACAAAGCGGTCTGTGAAAAAAGTAGGGCAAGAACATCCATAAGTATAGTAGAAACTATATACCTGAAAGTATAGTATAAAGATATACCTGGAGAAAATTAAGAACTTTTGTGTGTAAAATTTTTTTTCTCAGATGCTGTTTTTGCACAAATAATTCATGTAATCCAGAAATATTGATCTAATCAAAATTAATCAAGTTAAAAAATTTTAAGCTAAAGAGTATTGCCAATTGTACAAAGAAAATAGCTGGTTTATGTACCTGAGTAATTAAATATTTACTTTTAAAACTAATTCAACTAGCCCACAAACAGACATAAAACAGAGTCTTATCAAAAAAAATCTGATGCTCCCCCCAACAATGAACAAATGTAATTATCAGAACTGTCAAGCAGGCAAATGAAACTACAATTCTCATAATTACTTACACATTTTTAATACAGTGTAGTGGTAAAATGCAGAGACATAACTATAACATACAAGCTGTGTGACCTGAGGTAGGTTATTTGTCCTCCCATGCCTTAGTTTCTTCATTTGTAAAATAAGGAGCAGCTATCTCAAGGGCTGCTGTGAGGTTTAAATGAATTAATACCTGTAAAGTGCTTTAAGTGTTGCTATTACTTCTACTGCTACTTCTGTTACTCCTAGTTGTACTTCTGTTGCTTTTAGTTACTAATATAGCCTTCAATAAGTTAATGTTCTTCTTCAATCTGTTGCTTATCTGTCCAGTTTTCTTGGTTACTCTTTGAAGGGTACTGAGATAATATATGTAAAGAACTATGGATCTCAAAGAAGGGCAACTTCTAGGCCTCATATTTACTAATTTTATAATAGCAACTGACACAACTGCCTATAAAATGTCTACTGAACAATACAAACTGACTGCAGGCTTCAAATTCCCTTTCCATAATTTTTTAGTTATATATTTTATCCTGTAAATAAAGCTAAGGATATTTGTTATACACTTTTAAATATTATACTTTTGGGAACAACCATCTTGAGCAAATGAAACTTATAGAATTGTCTTTTTAAGAAGAAAGATTAAATTTAAAATATTTCACAAAAGGTAATATTTGAAAATAAATGCACAGGTATACAACAGATACTTGTGAATGTCTCAAAATATAAATAAAAATGTTAAAAGTAAAAAGCTAGTAAAGAAAAAATAAAAGGCAAAGGACCTTCTGCTTTACTTGAAACAACAAACACAACTTAAATGCTATGACAAACAGCACTGTATTCAATAGTTTCTGTGATCACAAATTCAGACTATTTAATACCTTAATAAGAGCATAATAAACAGTTTTGAATTAAAAAGAAAATGCACTATGTTTAGAAGGTTAAAAATACTTTGATATTTTCTTACTATACTCCATTATCTTGGCTACTTTTACAGAACAAATGAAAGTATCTTAAATGAAAAGCTCAGAAGCTGTATTTAAAGTACTAAATCCACCTTAGTCTCTTTTTAGATAGACACTCTACTGCATTATCATCCATTGGCAGGCATTAATGCACTGTAACAAACACAAAAGGCCACAGTCTATACAAGTAAAGCATTAAGTTGATAGCGGAAATTCAAAGGGTTACTACATAATTCTTAGGCATATGTATCCAACACAGGTTACAAAAGAGTTCAGTCAAAACATTCTAAATTATGCTGCAGAGGATTCCACAGCTGGTGGGCAGACAGGTGCCACATTTTGACACAACCAATCACGATTTCAGTTTGTGGCATTTAAAAAACTTAATAGTAGCAAGTAGTCGTTTTTCCTTGAGGACTGTGCCACCCTAATCTTGAATGAAGAAAAATTTTTCAGATGGCAACCTACAAACAGGAGCTGTCCCCCAAGCATTCAATAGAAGTCAAATTCTTTCTTGAACCAAGAAGTTGAGGACCCATTAGGACAACATTACAAGTAACAAAGTTAACCCTGTCACTGGAGTTCTAGCCTTGGATGATGCCCAATGCACTCTTTTCCATTGACTTATTTCTCCTCTTTAACAGTAAAACAGGTTTCCAATCAGACTAAGACAATTATTTTTAGTTGTGAACATGACACTTATAATCAGATTCTGAAGCAAACTTCAATGTAACACAGTTGGCCTTTAAAAAAATACACTATTTTATTCCTCCAACCCATTAAAAAATTCCTTCCTTATTTATCCATTTATTTGCAACATATCAACATCCACTGACACATAATATAATCATGCATATACACTACAATCAATGAAACATTTGTTAATATATGGAAATCTTTTACATAAATTAATTTTTCTCATAGTCTTTTTCCTGATGTCATTTTCTGAAAATCCATGGGGAAAGCGCTATGTATTTATTAATAAATGTTCTCAAATTGAAATACAACTCTAATTATTATGAAAAATATCTAAATCAAAAACAGTTTCCTATTTCAGCCTATTTTCCCATTTCAGCCTATCTATTTTAATGATTTTCTCTGCATTTATACACATCAAATGTTTTCCAAATCTCAGAAACATCTTTACCTTGTGCTTTCCCCATACTTGTGGTCCAGCAGCATTTTTCACATCACAGGCACTATGATTTTTTTTTTTTTTTTTTTGAGACGGAGTTTCGCTCTTGTTACCCAGGCTGGGGTGCAATGGCGCGATCTCGGCTCACCGCAACCTCCGCCTCCTGGGTTCAGGCAATTCTCCTGCCTCAGCCTCCTGAGTAGCTGGGATTACAGGAACATGACACCATGCCCAGCTGAATTTTTGTATTTTAAGTAGAGACGGGGTTTCACCATGTTGACCAGGGTGGTCCCGATCTCTTGACCTCGTGATCCACCCGCCTCGGCCTCCCAAAGTGCTGGGATTACAGGCGTGAGCCACCGCGCCCCCGGCACTATGATTTTTTAGTTTAAGTTTAGTTTATCAGGTCAAGTGACCTCAGAGCTCTATGAAAACAATATGTATTTGTATTTAGGTAAGTACTTTAATGCTATTTTATGTGCCTTACCCATTATGTTTAATTCTCTAAATCTTTGTTTTGATTTTAAGTCAATAATGGAGAGTATAAAAGCTCACAGTATATTCTGAGGTAAAAATAAATAAACCTAAATCTAACCTGGGTTCAGCAGGGGCATGGCAATGTAAATCAGAATTAATTCTGTTTCTCTTTTATGTCTGACAAGATAGCTTTGAGAAGGAAAATTTTTATAGTTCTTAAACATTTTCTCAGTTATTCTGCCCTAGTCTTTTTCTGCCTTTTCTGTACACGATTTTCCCAAAACAGATGTACTAAATTTACTCTCACTGTCACTTGTTCTAGAGGAATTCTTCAATCCCAGCTCATTTTCATGAATCACTGTCATGTGATAAAAGTATTATGGTAGCCATGGTTTTATGAAATCATCTTCTCTAGCAGAGTTTTTTTTTTTTAAAGCAATGCAAAACATATTCTCTAAAACCATTTCAGAATGTTTTGTCTACATGGAATAAATGACACTGAAATATCCTATCCCAATTCGTATTTTGAAAGGCAATGATTATCTTTAATGTCACTAACCATCCCCTTCTATGGGTGGGTGTGTTGGGTGTGTCTTTTAGGTATAGCAGTAAGAGGAGAGCAAGGTGTTCCTGGTCCACCAGGACCCGCTGGACCTCGAGGGCACCCAGGTCCTTCCGGACCACCAGGAAAACCAGGCTATGGAAGTCCTGGACTCCAAGGAGAGCCAGGGTTGCCAGGACCACCGGGATCATCAGCTGTAGGGAAGCCAGGTGTGCCAGGACTCCCAGGAAAACCAGGAGAGAGAGGACCATATGGACCAAAAGGAGATATTGGACCAGCTGGCCTACCAGGACCACGGGGCCCACCAGGGCCACCTGGAATCCCTGGACCAGCTGGTATTTCTGTGTCAGGAAAACCTGGACAACAAGGACCCGCAGGAGCCCCAGGACCCAGGGGCTTTCCTGGAGAAAAGGGTGCACCAGGAGTCCCTGGTATGAATGGACAGAAAGGGGAAATGGGATACGGTGCTCCTGGCCGTCCAGGTGAGAGGGGTCTTCCAGGTCCTCAGGGTCCCATGGGACCACCTGGCCCTCCTGGAGTGGGAAAGAGAGGCGAAAATGGGGTTCCAGGACAGCCAGGCATCAAAGGTGATAAAGGTTTTCCAGGAGAAATGGGACCAAGTGGCCCACCAGGTCCCCAAGGCCCTCCTGGGGAACGAGGGCCAGAAGGCATTGGAAAGCCAGGAGCTGCTGGAGCCCTGGGCCAGCCAGGGATTCCAGGAACAAAAGGTCTCCCTGGGGCTCCAGGAAGAACTGGGCCCCCAGGGCCTCCTGGCTTTGGGAAACCGGGCTTGCCAGGTCTGAAGGGACAAAGAGGACCTGCTGGCCTTCCTGGGGGTCCAGGTGCCAAAGGGGAACAAGGGCCAGCAGGTCTTCCTGGGAAGCCAGGTCTGACTGGACCCCCTGGGAATATGGGACCCCAAGGACCAAAAGGCATCCCAGGCAACCATGGTCTCCCAGGTCCTAAAGGTGACACAGGGCCAGCTGGGCCTGCAGGATACCCTGGGGCTAAGGGTGAAAGGGGCTCCCCTGGGTCAGAAGGAAAACCAGGGTATCCAGGAGAACCAGGTCTCAGTGGTCCTAAGGGTAACCCAGGGCTACCAGGCCCAAAAGGTGATCCCGGAGTTGGAGGCCCTCCTGGTCTCCCAGGCCCTGTGGGTCCAGGAGGAGCTAAAGGAATGCCAGGACACAGTGGAGAGGCTGGTCCAAGAGGTGCCCCTGGAATACCAGGTACTAGAGGCCCTATTGGGCCACCAGGCATTCCAGGTTTCCCTGGTTCTAAAGGGGATCCAGGAAATCCTGGTCCTCCTGGCCCAGCTGGCATAGCAACTAAGGGCCTCAATGGACCCACTGGGCCACCGGGGCCTCCAGGTCCAAGAGGACACTCTGGAGAGCCTGGCCTTCCAGGGCCCCCTGGCCCTCCTGGCCCACCAGGTCAAGCAGTCATGCCTGAAGGTTTTATAAAGGCAGGCCAAAGGCCCAGTCTTTCTGGGATGCCACTTGTTAGTGCCAACCAGGGAGTAACAGGAATGCCTGTGTCTGCTTTTACTGTTATTCTCTCCAAAGCTTACCCAGCAATAGGAACTCCCATTCCATTTGATAAGATTTTGTATAACAGGCAACAGCATTATGACCCAAGGACTGGAATTTTTACTTGTAGGATACCAGGAATATACTATTTTTCCTACCACGTGCACGTGAAAGGGACTCATGTTTGGGTAGGCCTGTATAAGAATGGCACCCCTGTAATGTACACCTATGATGAATATATCAAAGGCTACCTGGATCAGGCTTCAGGGAGTGCCATCATTGATCTCACAGAAAATGACCAGGTGTGGCTCCAGCTGCCCAATGCCGAGTCAAATGGCCTATACTCCTCTGAGTACGTCCACTCCTCTTTCTCAGGATTCCTAGTGGCTCCAATGTGAGTACACCCCACAGAGCTAATCTAAATCTTCTGCTTGAAAAGGCATTCTCCAACTCTACCCCACCCTACAAAATGCATATGGAGGTAGGCTGAAAAGAATATAATTTTTATTTTCTGAAATACGGATTTGAGTTATCAGACCAACAAACCTTCCCCGTGAAAAGTGAGCAGCAATGTAAAAACACATGTGAAGACCCTCTTGAATTTCTAGTCAGCAATCCTAAGCCTCTTTCAAGTTTTCTGTGAACTCCTCCAATATTTAAAAATATCACCAAAGAAGTCCTGCTATGTTAAAAAAAAAAAATCTAAAGAAAAAAAAAGAAATACAGCTCTAAGTTATGTGAAGTTTGATTTGAGAAACTCAACATTCCCTTTTTTAAAAAACCTGTTTCTAACTACTAATATGAGAACTTCTTAGGAAACATTCAGGAGGTATCATATAACTTTGTAGAACTTAAATACTTGAATATTCACATTTAAAAGACACTGTATCCCCTAAAATATTTCTGAAGGTGCCATACTCTGAGGCCTGTATGGCCCCTTTCATCAATATCTATAAAATATACAGGAGCATGTATACTTTTAAAGCTCTTATATTAAAAAACCCCAAAATATTATATTGAAGTTCATCTGAAATGCAAGGTGCTTTCGTCAATGAACCTTTTCAAGCTTTTCTGTGACTGCAGAGAAGCTTTTTATATACCCAGCATAAATTGGAAACAGGTATCTGACCTATTCCTATTTATTTAACAAAAATGTGATTAATCTGACTTCTTTAATTCCTTATTGGAGCTTATGTGATGCGATTTTCTGGATTTACAGAACGTTAGCACGTGTACCTTGTGCCTCCCATTCAAGTGAAATTATAATTAACATTGAGGGTTTCAAAGAATTGACTAGAAGTGGAGATACATTATTTATTTATGCTCTGTACTGTATTTTTATATTGCTGTTTAAAACTTTTAAGCTGTGCCTCACTTATTAAAGCACAAAATGTTTGACCTACTCCTATTTACAATACAATAAAATAACATCAATAGACTTTTATGCTGAATTAATTTGAAAGCAGCAATTTGCTGTTCTCAACCATTCTTTTAAGGCTTTTCATTTTTTAAAGCTAATAAAAAAGTGGAACAATAAAGTGGTGGGTGGCTTTTGCAGTTGTCATGGATATGTTCCTATACTGGGGATGAATATTCATTCCTACAGACCCAAGCACTAAGGGTAGACCCGTGAAAAGGTACCCTCAAAGCCACATGCAATCTGAGTGAGGGTCAAGGGCTGATGACTAGGCATAGAAAGATGAGACAGTCACCACAAAGTTGTAATTTTCTTCTGGGAGGGAAAGAAGCAGGTGACAGAGAAATATGTCATTTGAACAAATATTCTGCAGTTACTATTTACTGTCTTGACATGTTTTTAGTCATAATATTTAAAATTGTTTTGATGGCTTGAATTACATTTTAAAAAGGCAAGCAATTTTTTATGTCAATCAAAAGGCAACATTTTTCCAAGCTGAAAAATAATACTCTTGAGCATCCATCATCTGATTAGTTTAATCAGGACGATGTGGCTCAAGTCACTGAGGTAACATACTATAAAGGCATCTATTTATTCCTTAGAAGCAATCTTGTGTAATCCAAGCTGGGGTGTGATTAGAAAGGTAAAATTCAGGGCTCAAGATTGGTGATATCTCTGCCCCCATTCTGGGTCAGCCAATCTTGTTCCTTAGGCAACAAGAACAAAATTTCTGTTGGCAGACATCTGCCCACATGTCTATAACTACTACATTAATGGTTACAAGTCACCAACCCTCATGCCCAAGCCAGGAAAAAGCAAAACCGGAACTTCAATTCTGAGGAACTCACAGAACGAACCTCATGGCAGGCATAGTAAAAGAGAGTGTAACAGCACAGTACAGCTTGGAATATAGGCAATTATAATCATGAAAGAAGTGCAAATAAAAGGACCTCTGAAAATGTAAGCAGAACTAACTTTATAATAATATTTAAGCTCAAACTAAATCCTAAGTAAGATACATAGCAAAGCACATACTTTCTAACTAATTCACCAGACAAACATAGTTTCACAAACATGTATTAGGAAGCCCCTCTTTACGATACTCACCCTTAAAAGCTGACATTTTATAATTGTGTTGTATAGCAGCAACTATATCCTTCCAAAAATCAAATGTTTTTTGACCATTGTTCTGCTGAAAAAATAATTCCAAATGTAATAAATGCAATAATTCAGTTTTTAAGCATAGTGAAAAATGCTGGCAAATACAATGCAGACAGTCCCTGACTTAAGATGGTAAGACTTATATTTTTTTTATTTTATGATGGTGCAAAAGTGATAAAGATTCAGTAGAAACTTTAAGTACCCATACAACAATTTTGTTTTTCACTTTTAGTACAGTATTCAATAAATCACATGAGATATTCAATACTTTATTATAAACAAGGCTTTTTGTTTGGTGACTTTGCCCAACAGTAGACTAATGGAAGTGTTCTGAGTATAAGCTAAGCTAAGCTATGATATTCAGTAAGCCAGATGTTTAAAATGCATTTACAGTATTTTTGGCTTAACGATGGATTTGTCAGAAAAAAACCCATCATAAGTTAAGGAGCATCTCTATTACTATATTCTCAAAGGAGTTTATATTTTAGAAAACATCATAGATTAATAAAGTTCTCATTCTTCTAAATGTGATTTTAAAAAGAGAAATCTTCCATGAAAATCACTGCTATGTATATACACACATATCACTAAATGTTAATATTGCTCATTTAGCCCAAATAAAATAAAAATTTCCACTTATCAAAGTCTAAAAATTATAGAGTATTTTTAAACACAGCAAATTCACAGCATTATATAATTTCTGAGATATCAGAATGTTTGATATAAGATACTATGGCATCAATGGGACTAAGAAGACTGAAGCCTGACTTTAGAATTCAGTGCACAGGTAACCTGAATTTCAATATGAAAGAGCAGCAAATCTCAATAGAAGAAATGAATCAGGTTCCAAATCCAAAATGTAAATTTTTATTAAGATTTTTTTCAATCAGAAAGCAAATAAACATTACATTAAAACACACAACCCTAAGATCCTTTGCTTCCTGGGAAATGTTAACCAGTGACCTATCCAAAGAAAGACAGACTACTAGATATTTATATCTAAATATACAAACTCCAAAATATTTAAAGACTGTTACACTTTGCTTATAATAACTACCAAATGAGAAACTGACTCTATCGTGTATTAATAAAGATTTCTATGAACATACCCAAACATACCCAAATGGAAGCTTTCACAACACATAAGTATAATTCTGATTCACAAGTAAAACATTACCTGTGTTCTATTATCAAAATGACAGTAGTGACTTTTTTTTTTATTTTTTGAGACAGAGTCTCACTCTGTCACCCAGGCTAGAGTGCGGTGGTGCAATCTCAGTTCACTGCAACCTCTGCCTCCCGGGTTCAAGCAATTCTCCTGCCTCAGCTTCCTGAGTAGCTGGGACTACAGGCACACACCACCATTTCTGGCTGATTTTTGTATTTTTATTAGAGATGGAGTTTCATCATATTGGCCAGGCTGGTCTTGAACTCCTGACCTTATGATCTGCCCATCTCAGCCTCCCAAAGTGCTGGGATTACAGGCATGAGCCACTGTGCCTGGTCCAAATAGCAGTGATTTTTAAAAGACAACATATGCATAAAGAAAAGTGATTCTGACATATAAATCTATTTTATGTTTACAGGTCTTAAGTCCTAAGTATAAACTAGTATAACAAGAGATTGAATTTAATCTTGATACACAGTACAGAAGAAAAAATTTACATTCATTAAGTGATGCTCAAAATGGTGAATTTTTAAATTTCATCAATTTTTTTGCTTTTATATTATTTAGAATGCTTAAAGACATGCCGAATTGTCTTAACCTTTAACTTTTCATTTTGCTAAATGAAACTATTTATTTTACTAAAGAAAATATTTTGTCCAGATGCAAGTTCTGTATTTATTTTCTTTTTCTAAACTTTTGCACCCTCTGCTGGAGAATAGGTTTATTTTTCCTGAAAGGAAAAAAAAGTCACTGCTATTTAATTTCCCAAAAATATTTTAACCAAATTCACCACGTTTTCTTTCCTCATCACCTCTGAAACCACAAAGAAGAAACTGAGCAAAAATCACAGCTCAGAAGCAATATGTAATTAAGTTCTCCAATTTATGACTGAGACATATCATAGTTTAAAAAAATGAGCCCCCACTTACTTTTGTTAAATAGTCCACCACCCTGGCACATAGAAGAGCTCCTGGCAGGTCAAAGTAGTTGTCGTAAAAATAGTACTTTCCTAAAAAAGAACAAAATTTTAAACTGGGAACAACATAATGCTGTATGCATGTGAAATACACAGAAATGTGGCTGAAGAGACATTAGATTTTGGTTTAATTATCTGAAGAAGCCTCCATTTCAATTCAAAATGGCACCATTATTGGCTGTCATTGTCTTTTAAAAAAGATGTAAGCTCTGAGGGCACCACAAGAAATTTAAAATATAATATCTGGAAGTTAAGCATTGTATTCAAAGATATTTTAGTAAGCTTAAAGAATGTAAAAACTAAGAAGAGTATATGTAAAAAATAAAATAGAAAATTAAAAAGCCATAATTTATGTTATCGATGTCACTGAATTTCAAAACAATCAATTAACCTAATGCTGGAGTGCCATGAAGAGCTCCCTACTTTCAGATTGGTTGGCCAACCCCACCTAGAGTACTGCATTCTATTTTTATGCCATTTAAGACAAATTTCAGTACAATGTGAAAAAAACTGGGGTGATAAGTAGAATATAACCACGCCATGTGAAAACACAGTGTACTTATCTTATAAAAACTGTAGCTAACAAATGGGAGGACGGGGGAACAAAAATCAAGTGATTATAATCAAAATCAAGTGTAGAGTATGGGACAGGTACATTCCAAGATTTCACGGAAGAGAAGGATTTGGTTTATTCTATATGACCTTAGGGTAGAATTACATTTTAGCCCTTCTTTGGCACACGTGACTTTTGGGTCTGCTGTCCCTGAACAGACAATTTTGATGACCCATGTCACATCCCCTTGGCCCATGTCTGATTCCAGCCACAGCTATGCTAATAGCACCATCCCACCTTGGCATACTGTGTTATTCTCTTCCTCCCAAAGGCTCTGGAGCCCATGTGGCAAACTACAAACTTGGAACAGGTTCAGGAACCAGTAAATGAATGCCCTGCCTCCTGTTCCATGGACTGACAATTCTGGGAGGTATTTTCCGTGCTTCTCCTTGGAAGTCCCAGTGGAGTCCAGCACCCATTCTTCCTTCCATGTCTCACCCTCTCATTCCTTCACTCCTGACTACTGAGATCAGGAGTAACCACTCTGCTTTTGAGGGAACCCAACCTCACAGAGTTCCCTAGAGAACGCTTGTTACCAAGAAGAATCAAAGAGAACCAGTAGGCAAAGCCAGATTTTGCATTAATAATAAGATGCTTGAGTACATCATTGTAATCATTTGATTTAGATTCCCCCCTTCTCCCATTTGTTAGCTATGCATATGAGGTTATGGAACACATTTGTCTTGTTGTTTAGTGTTGACTAGGCAGTGTTCAGCATATTCTAAGTACTCAAGAGATGTTTGCTGAATGAATGAATGAGTAACCAATAATCAAATAGATTACTTTGGAATGCAAAAGTATTATAGGGAAATTAGAAGAAAGCCATATGCAGAAGCCAGGGTTCTGTTCCTCTGAATTTTATTTTGTGCCTCTTACTTCTTCCGGTAGAATTATTTAAAAATGTATAAAAAATAAAATCGAAGTTTTCTTTCTGTTAATTCATAAAGTGGCTGTGTCAGTTTGCGTTCATTCCCTCAGTTAAAAATATTTTGGTTGATACAGTCTCCCTGTTTTTCATTCTTTCATAGCTTAAATTGTTAGGGGAACCTCTCAGGCTGTTTTTAATTCCTAAGAAAGGTCATGATGGCTTTGCCAGTGTGAAGAATCAGTGATCTGGAAGAAAAGGAAAACGATATGCCATGTGGTTTTCTGCCTCTGCTTTGCTATGCTGTAAGACTGTATGACACCCCAGAACTCCCAAGGCTTAGGACAGTAGGCAAAGCTTCCCAAGGTTCATTAATCTGCACTTTGTCTTATCTCTTGGCCTGACACTAGAGTGACCCAACTTGATGGGTTGGGCACTGCTGTCTCAGGCACTGCTGGAGCAGGAGGCATCCCAGCATTGCCAGTTACATACCCTTGCTTTTCTCCTCCGATTCTCCTTCATTTGCGGGTACTAATGGATAAAATTCATTCCAAGAGTTCAACTACTGATTTTGAGTAACGGGTGAGGTCTAATCAAATAATTCAGGGGGAGCCCAATGAGAAGAGCTCATTGGTTCTCACCCACAATGCAAGAGGCTAAGGTCACTTGACTGTTGAACGTGGGCTAAATGTCCATTGTGTGGACACAAAGAGGTTTGTTCAGCCTTGAGCTGTTAAGTGGGCCAGGCTGCTTGCAATGCCTCACCCAGCACCCAAACTCTGACACTATACCATGTGAAAGCTTCAACCTCCACCTCTGTATAGAAGAGATAGCTCATTGTGAATGAAGTGAATAGTGAGCCCAGTTCAACAAAACAAGCCTCTGAATTAAAACCAAGTCCAATAATCAATAAGTTTTACAAGCAGAAAGACTGCTCCCCAAGAAGCCACTACCAACCCTACTCCCTTTGTCTTAGTGGCCATGGTAGAATGGAAAATGAAGAACTGAGGGGAAGGGAAAAATTTATGTTAATAAATGTTCTCACTTCTGCAAGTAAGTGATATTATCTCCACTCAAAGATGAGTAAAATGATGCTAAGAGTGACTTAGTACCAGAGTCACTTTATCCAGCAAATTGTCACAGAGCCAGTATGATCCAGGATTGTCTGGCACCAAGCTCCTTGTGATTTCTACTAGATCAAGCTGTTTCTACATAATCTACCATTTAGGGAAGGTAAGTTTAAAAGGATTTGCTCTCTGGAGATCAGCTGGCAAGGAAAACTGGTCTTATATCAGCAACCTGAAAAGAGATTATCAAACAAGTTGTCACTAAAAACCTCTACATCCATCAGTGCTTTAAATTTCCTAAATGTACTGATATGGAATATACTTTACAACTCTGCTTTTTACTCTGAAGGTTAATACACTTAAATGCAGAAGAAAACTATAGATATAGAATCAACTGGAGTTCCTGAAAATAAAGAACTTATTTGGTAACATTTATCAAAATTTTAAATCTATATATCTTTAGAGCAAGTACACTTCTAGGAGTTTATCCTAGATATATTTATGTAAGTGCAAAATATACATTCATGAAAACATCACCACAGGCCTGTTCGTAATGGTGAAACACCAGACACAACATAAATGTCCACTGCTAGGAGGAGCCTGATTAAACAAATCATGATACAAGCACTGAATTGCAGAGCATCCCAGCATTTAGAAGAACACAATGTACCTCGTGTGTGTGTGTTGATGCCAGAATCTCCAAGAAGTAAATTAAAAAGAGCAAGGTAAATATATAATCCCTTTTGTATGCATTTAAAAAATAAGCTCTGGGGAAAGGGACTCTGGAAGACAGGAGTTGAAGACAATTACTCTTCCTTCTATTCATTTCTATAATATTTAAATTTTCTAACCATGTGCTGAGATTAATTTTTAATCTAAACAAACTTTAACTGGGCTGTGGAATCACAGGCCATTTTTTTCTTTCTTTCATACTTTTCCATATTTAAAAAAATCATATGATTTTTTAAAGGCATTAGCTCTCCCTCATTTTGCAAAAACAATGGGCCTCTATTATGTGTCACAACCTGAACTGGGCACCTGGATGGGAAACACTTCCCTAACCAACTCAGGTAAGTGCAGATAAACTCCCAGGAACATCCGCATCAGGCTCCTGGCCAAGTAAGCTCCAGATAAAGCTGCTGATTCCAGGAGGCAGCGCTCTCTAGTGGGCAAAACGGTGAGTAAACAGGTGCGTCTTACCAAGTGAATGAATGCTCTTTTAGCAGGTGGCAAATACTTCTTTAAAATACTCCGGATCTTAATGAATTTCAGAGTAAAACACTTAGGTATGTGCCTGGCTTTTCCAGGAGAAGGGAAGAGCCTGTTTACACCTGCCAACATCTGGAGAGATAATAGCAGTTCTTTACCATCATTTGAGCAGAAGGCTTTCCATCCATTTGACTTGACAGGTATTATACAAAGGCATTCTATGTCTAACTCCAATGTGAAATCTTAGTTTCTCCTATCAACTAATTTTATCAATAGCACTCATGCTTCCTGACATTTTCAGCTCTCTATAAAAACAAACAAGTAAACAAAACAGAACTCTCAAAAGAGAGCAAATGTAACAAAGCAAACATGATAGGTACAAGGAGTAACTACAACTCTTTTCAGGTTACTGTAGTCTCTGAAAGAGAAAAGGTGCAACCAAATACTGTAGTGTGGAAGAAAACTGCAAAGTGGTCAAAAAATAAAAACAAATAAAGAAACTAATAATTGGGATTTTTAATAACATCTAACCATTCCCTATTAATTATGCACATTTCTGTCTGTAAATAACTTTTGAATAATCATTTCATGTTTACCCATGGTGAAACTCTTTAAAGGCAATGGAAAAGAAAAATAGTAGTCATTTGAAAAACAGGAAAATAAGAGACAAAGGCAGATGATACTAAACTGGCAGTAAGGAAGATAATTATAGAAAACAGAAGTGGTAGGTAATGTAAATATGTGGAGAAATCAGAGATGGAGGAAGAAAAGGTAAGGATCGAGCATAAAACAAATTGGTAAATACAGGACAACTAAGGCCTGTATTATTTCTAAGTGCTAATCTTTAAACCAGAACAAGTACAGGTAAAAGGAGTACCAATAAATTCTGTGAACAGTATTTTGAACCATCTGCGAAACAGAAATCAAATGCACTTGGAAAAAATACATCCTATTGCTATAAAACTGAAGCAGCTCTGTTTTGCATCCTGCCCAGCAGGGGGAAAGGGGAGTCTTCTTTGTCCTTACATCAAAGGTTTAGGGTACAAAACAAACAGGGAATAGATGGTGAAGCTGCCTCCTTCCTCCTTCGAGTCATACCTGAGCGGCAAGCCATTCCAGTGTCCGACAAGAAGTGCTTCCACTCTTTCTTGCCATATGCCTCTGCCAGCACTGCTGGAGTCATCATCTTGGTGCCATGGCTTGCTCTGATTTTGGGAGAGGATGCACATTGTTCATTAATGGTTCCCTTGAATGCCCCTTCCTCTATCATTGTGACTGTTGATCCCTGTTGCCCCTGGAGCTAACAAATACATACATATTTTTTCTGTCTTCAGCTGGGTGCCTCCCTGTTTAGGATTCTATAAAGTAAATTTCTGTGGACAGCTGTAGCACTTCCCCCTTTTAATCTAGGAGGTGGCAGGTGATTAGGAGATGCTCACTCTGAGGTCAACATTGGATAAGATAACACCCTTTTTTAGAGAAGTTGTCCTTTAACTATACAGACAAGATTAACATATCTGGAAAAATTAGAAAACAACCATGTTTACTGGGAAGCCGGTTCTGGCAGCACTAGAGAAAGAGCAGTAGGTACCAGAGTCAAAGTGTGAGTCCACCAGGCACATAGGAGTAACAGGAGACACCTGGCACCCACAAGTGGATGACTATGAGCATGCAGGACCATGAAGACAAGATGGGAGCAACCTGCCCACTCAAGGACACGGAAACGGCTAAAACCACATGAGGAAATTGAAGAGGAATATGGAAAAACAGAGCAACATGGCAAAAAAGTAGGTATTTTCTGGGCTCAAAATAAGGCTTTTGCATCAGTTAGGTCTGGCTAAAAGAATCTTACTCTGTAGAGAAATATAGTAGTTCCCCTTATCTAGTTTTGCTCTCCACAGTTTCAGTTACCTGTGGTCAACCTGGGTTGAAAAATACTAAGGGCATAATTCCAGAAACAAGCAATGCATACGTTTTAAATTGCATGCCATTCTGAGTTCTAGTGTTATATTTTATTTTTATTTTCTTACTGTACCTAGTTTATAAATTAAACTTTATTATAGGATAAGACATAGTACATGTAGGGATGTGCACTATCTGTGATTTCCAGTAACCACTGAGGGTCTTGGAAGATAATCTCTGAGGATAAGGAGGGATTATTGTAGTTGAAATTTTAGTGTAGTTTATTATGAGAAATGATAACGATCGAGAATATTATTCTCTTGGTATTACAATGCAGTAACAAAATAATATGAAGGAAAAAAGAAATAAAATAAGAAAAAACAAATGGGCTCTTTTTTATGAAGAGGTTAGCATTTTAGAAAGCTATATGTAAAGATCAAGGAATCCCGAATGAGAAATATGATGAGACAAGGAATCTACTATACTGGTTGGAAGAAAGCATCAAGGAGCTACGCTAATAAATTCAGGAGAAACTAAAGGTTAGCCAGGACTTGAATGGAGAGAGACAGGCCTTGCAGGATGAGGATGGGGATAGGAACAGACAGACAAGCAAGGAGAGAAAGAAACAAAATTGTAGAATGCTTTTCATTCTTTTAACCATGGTTGAAGACAGCCAAGAACACTGTGAATCTGACAGTAGAGTTAAAGGTCATAGACAAAGCTGCATTTACACATATCCCATCTCTGGATGCCTGAGGGATAAACATGGAAACAAATTACAAAATACCAAAGGTGGGACTACACCTGCTTTAGTTAGATGCACCTTAGGGGAAGGTCTGGGGGAAAGTGTGAAAGGAGTTTACATCATGCAAAAAGAATGATGTATCAAAAGAGAGTATATATTAGGGGTCTGGGAGTTTTCTCCTTTGATTCTGATCCTGTTTGCATATGTAATAAGCGGCATAGCTTCATACCCATGTTGGCTTGCCTGTACTATTAGTACTGGAGAAAAAACAGATGCTCCCTCCCTGGTGCCCTTTGAGAGACAGAGCAGTGATAGCTGCTGCTTCTGGACTGCTTGCCATACCCTTAGCAACAGTTAAGAGGTTGGGCCCACTAAGAGAGGAGAGAAGGAAAGAAAATCAGCCTGGCGTGCGGGAGGAGGGAGAGGTTGATGAGACTTGGAACAGTCCAGAAAAGCTTCCAAAAGGAGATAGGACACAACATGACCCATGCATGATAGGGACAAATTTAGAAAAATGGAGAAGGAAAGGGTGGTGGGTATACAACACCAACCTATACCCAATACCCATTCTTTCTTCCTTAACAAAAAGAACCCCAATTTTATTTTAGGCATCTACATACTCAGCTAAAACATTATAATTCCTGGGCTCTTTTGCCAAAAGGAGTGGTCAATGAGATGCAGCAAGTTATAAACTTTCTATTGTATTTCCTACAAATATTTTTAATGGGATAAACTTAAAGGAACTAGGCCTTTAAGTCTAATCCTCACAAATTCATATTTGAATGGCTCAAACAATTCATACAAAGACATGTAGGCACACAGATAATGTTATCTAATTAATTAAAATAATCGTATTTAACCTGTATTGTAAGGGTCATATTTCATGCAGTAATAAAGTGTCCCAGAGAAAGCAAAGTTTTGACTTCGCAACTATTTTTATTACCTGAGAACAGTGCCATTATCTGCAAGTTTAAGGAAGTTCCCATCTTCTAGATCCAATGCCAAACCCTTGCAACTAAAATAGAAAAGTTTGATTATCAATCAATTAATATATTTAGCTAACCTAAGAAATAACAACCTATATTTTCCAAACATCATAATGTTAAAAGGGGAATTCTCCCATGCAGGGGAATGATATGTTAATCACACAAATAAGAATAACTACGAACTGTAAAATTAAATATCCATCACTGAGTGGATATAAAACGAATATTGTTATATAGGCAAACAAAGGAAAGCATATTTAGTTTGTAAAAATCCTTAGGCTTTTAAAAAGGTAAATCTAAAACTCTAAAGAGAAAAAAATAACCTGAACATCATCCCATACCTTTGTTAAAATGTACAAATGTTTTCCACTAAATAAAATATATACACACACACATCTATATATTACTAGTTAAGCATTTAGCCAGTCGTTCCTACACTCTAGAATTTGTCTCAATTTAGGTCAGTTTACAAGAACTTGCCCTCTGGACAAGGCATATTATTGAAAGCCACTAAAAGAAAGTCAAATTAAGTTTTAGGTTCTTTACTATAAAAGACTTGTGGGATTTGGGGAGAAAGATTTATTATTATGAATAATAAAAGCAAAGTGGTAAAATGGCTACCAAATACCAAAGGAATTAAACAAAAACGACAGTGTACTTTAGAAGCATTATTTACTTTTGTTCAGGGTAAAATTTCCAGAGTCAGTATTTTCTTACAGTAAAATGTTACTGTTTCTTCCTTTTACAAAAATGATACATCCAAAAAGACTAACCAAAAATCAAAAGAATGTATACTAGATCAACATTATGTGTTTTAGGATTGTTATTGATTTTATTTATTTATTTTTTGGAGACAGGATCTCACTTTGTAGCCCAGACTGGAATGCAGAGGCATGATCAATAGCTCACAGCAGCCTAAGCCTCCTGGGTTCAAGCAATTCTCCCACTTCAGCCTCTTCAGTAGCTGGGAATACAGGTGCGTGCTGCCACATCTAGCTAATTTTTTATTTTTTTTATTTTTTGCAGAGTTGGGGTTTTGTCATGTTGCCCAAGCTGGTCTCCAACTCCTAGACTCAAATGATCCATCCACTTCAGCCTACCAAAGTGCTGGGATTACAGATGTGAGCCATTACACCTGCCTGGCCTGTTATTAATTTTAAACTGAACAGTTTAAAGTGTCTTAGTGTTTTTGTTTGTGTTGTTACCTAAATGAGGAAGACAAAGGAAGCTTTGGGAAGTTGAGTCCTAACCCAGAAAGGGAATGGCAGTAAGAGTTTTGAGAATGTCGATCCAAATGACCAAAACCAATGGTCCTAATTCAGATGCTTACTCAAAACGTGATGATTCCCCATCTTCTCTTACAGTTCTTAAATTAAAGGGTAGTAAACTAAACCTTTTTCTTAAAGATGTAAATTTGAGAAACAGTTCTTAATAACCTGTGAAATTATTATGACAAACTTAAACCATATAAAAATATCCAAATTAGTCATATAAGCTCTTAATTTTCACATTAAGCAAGTCTACACTTATTTAAAGTAGAAAACGCTTTAATTCATTAAATACAAAGCTTTTGATATAGAAGACATTTGTCCTTTGACTCAATTTCACATTTTGCATTCTAGCTTCATAGAAGAGAAAGCATTACAGCTTTATCGGTAACAATTAGAACTAGGGGAGATGTACAGACTTTAAAAAAAAGAAAAGAAAAGAACTTACCAGAAATCCCAATCCTCTGGGGTCACATTGAGCAATTCTTTATCATACCCTTTCTCCTTCACTAGGAACTGGGCAAAACTATTATAAACGAGCTGCAAATAAAGGAAAGAAAAAGAGATTAAATTTAACACCCACTATTCATTCTAAATGTCACAGACCTAAAAACCTAATGGAATCACCGATGGAGGCAGATCAGAGGAGGGAAATATCTGTAATTGTGAAGTTCTGCAGTTTAATTCTCCTTCACAAGCAATTTATCAACCCCTGCATGACCCAGGTAGCTGTCCCTTTCAAAATTATACCATCAGCATACAATTATATGAGCAAAGACAATTATTAACCCTACTTCTGAATTCTAATGTGTTGGAGATAGTAATTTAAGACTTGACAAAGCTTTTAAAACTTATTTAATGTATCACTAAGATGATAAAGATGAAGACGACTCTATCCATCCATCCTTGGTCCATTCTGGCCAGAAAGGCTCCATGTCACGGAAATCTCAGAGTGAAATACACATGGGCACCAGGCAGGCTAAACAAGTCATGATGCTGCTATCATATACAGAAAATCACTCTTATTTCTCCACACACACATACACAAAACCATTTAAAAAAAAAAAAAAACCTAAAGAAAAAGGACAAAGAAAGCCTTTGGAAGCAAGTACATTAATTACAATAATAAATACTCTACTGATTGCTGACAGATCTTATTTCTCAACAACAACAAAAAATGCTAGGTTTTTCAGTGAAACATCTGGTTTTTAAGTGCTGGCTCAATTTTAAAAGAACTGTATATACCAAACAAAAAGCGCACAAAAGGTAGATGGCCCTACATTATTCTACCTCGGAGTGTTCCTTGGCCAGTGTCGGGTACACTTGAACCTGAGCAAAACAGGTTTAAGTTGGCCTGTGCAGTGTTCAAAAGGACACACTGAACAATCTGACACTTCTATAGATATTAACCCACAACAGGTTTTGATAACATGTCATACTCTTACGAAGAAGAGGGCATTGGAGGAGTGGAAGAAATCTCCCTGGGGTGGTGAGGTTTACACTGATGCTTAGATGTAGCAGTTCGACAGGTGAATGTAGAGGGAATGGGGGGCAACCCAGGTTCAGAAACTGAGGGGCCTGCACACAGGTGGAGTAGGGGCATCAGAGTCTGAGTGTCAGGATATGAGCATGGAGAAAGCAAAGGCTCCTTGTCAAATGTCAAATCGAGTTGCTCCCTGTCATAAAGCTAATTAAAATCACTACACATGTACTTCCATCCAGTGCAATGTGACCTTACCCAGGTCAACTGTTAATCAACCCACATTATGTTAATACCATATATCAACAGTTCTCAACTCTGGTGGTGATTCAGAACCACAGGTGACACTTCTTAAAAACTACCCAGAGCTTCCACGCCTACAGGCTACAGTGGGCTCTCTCTGAAGCACAGAGAACACTAAAACCACTGACCTGCATGTTTTACAGATTTTCATTCAATCACTAAAAGGCAAATAACAATAAAAAATGCATTGAGTCACTCTGTAGTACAAAGTACTATGGACAATAAAAAAGTACACATCATGATCCTGCTTGATGTGAAACCAGTGCTGCAGGGCTAACAGATGTAAAATGCTTAGAGTAGAGCCTGGCACACCAGCAAATCCAATTTAAGTATTTGCTATTACGTTTTATGCTGCTAAAAACAACAACCAAAAAAAAAAAAAACCAAAAAAAACAAAATAAAAAACAGAAAACAAAAACACTGCCCTGATGTGTAAACATTGCTCTAATGTGTGGCGCCTGCCCATTTCCATGGTGTAAATATTCCCACCATGGCCTGTTTCAAGCCACCAACAGTTTACCTGCTTGCATAATTCCTGAATAGTTAACAATTGGTTTTCACAAGTCCCTAAGAGCCAGGTATTATACATCTTAGATTTGCTTCTGGTTGAGGCACTTTATTTAGTCTTGGACAACTGGAGTTTCTCACCCCTTAGCAACAGTAATTAGTTTAAGACATGGGCATATGATTCTAAAACACTGGAATTCTTCCTGGAGGAAAGGAGTCCTTTCTATCAGAGATAGCAACAGGGTCAGCCACAGATGTGCTCCTTACCTTGTGGAGGAGATTTTTCTGTAACAGGAGAGAGGGGACCAATGCACAAGGAAGAGAAGCAGAGAAAAGCAGTGTGGAGAAAAGCAGGGGCATCTGTACTCTGAAACCCCTGGTCTAGGAAGAAGGCTTCTTGCAGTTTGTCCTCAGAGTATACTGAGTCCCTCCAGAAGCCTTCATGGCACAGGGCTCTCCGTGACATTCCTCTCCCAGCCTTAGCTGTCACCGCCTCACAGTCTCTCAGGGCCAATAATAATACAAACTCCACAGTAGTTGCCAATTGGTACATATGCAGCCCAAAAATTGTGTTTAGTTACCATGTAAGGATGCCAGATAAAATTTAAAATGCCTAGGTAAATGTGACTTCCAAATAAAAAACACTTTTTGAAAATATAAGCATGCCCCATGCAATATTTGGGACCCCACTCTCCCACTCACACATTTACATTAACTGTCTGGTATCAGACTTCTGAGTCTGCAACCTTAGGAGAAACCATGTATCATCTCCTCTTCTAGAATGCCTTTCCTGAGGCCTCATGTGAGGGGGACACACTCAGTTCTGTGTTTGCACAACTCTGTGCAGTTGTTAAATGCCCACGAGCCTGAAAGGAGAATTACGCACAGCTCTCCATGATGCAGCCCCCACTGACTTCTCTACCATCTTCTCCTGCAACTTGCCACCTTTTGTCTGTATCCAGCAGTTCCTGGTGCTGTTGCTCACCTCCAGGTACTGGCCCTTACTGTAACTCCTCTGTGTGAAACACGCCTCTCCACCTCCTCACCTGCCAGCTCCAGGCCTCTCCTCTGTTTTAGGGCACCATACAGACAGGAAGGTGGGAAGCAGCAGAAATCCACAGCCAGACTACCTTGCTCGGTTGCCCTGGATACACTTCCCTTCTGTGCCCCGTTGTTCAATGCTCTCTGAACAGTGACTGTGGTGATAATATCTACCTCACAGGACGTTGTAAGGGTTAAATCCATTTACATAAGCAGCATGCTTATTAGAATCATGGCTGTATCATATTGTTGTTAAAATATCTATTATATATTCAGTTTTTTATTTAGTCTATTTATTGAGCCCAGTATGTGTCCAACACTAAGAGCACACAGAACACAAAAGAAACTGTCACAGATACTGATGTCAAGGAGCCATCACTCTGGGCTCTAGAGGAAGTCCAACAAGTAAACAGGAAGCATTAATATCATGCGGTATGTGCAATGAGGAATGAAGGGTTTTGTGGAAAATTGAAGGTGGGCTTAGAGTGGAAGGGCAAACTTTAGGGGGCCAAAAAGTCTTCCTAAGGGGAACGATGTTTAAGATGAGGCCTGATGGGATGAAGAGCTTCTGTGCAGAGCAAAAAGGCCCTTCAGGCACTGGCGGCAGCATGCAGCAAGACCCAGGTCATACTACCCTCACCACAGGACCGAGACTAACTCTTCTGCATTTTTGCCGACTGCATGAGGCTGCCTGGAGGCCTGCGTGTTGATCTCTGTATCCTCAGCTCTAGCATGGTGCTCAGCACACTGTGGGACTTAAGAAAAAGATTTCCACAGGAAACATGATCCAAAACTCAATAGGTTACTGTTTTCAAGCTTTAAACATGACATATTCTCCAGGTTTGCAGTTAAAAAAACAAACAAACAAACAAAAACAAAAAAAACTCTTGTCTTTGAGAATCTTATAATCTGAAATTTTATGCTCACCCATGGACAACACTGGCTCTAACATGACTGTGGTTTAATAATATTCCCTCCAAATGAAGGGAACTAAAGAGGAGACACACAGAAATGTGAATCAGGAAGAGATTTGAAAGACACAGGGGAAAGAAAAACATGTATCAAACACCTAGGGGAAGCAGTGGCCAAAGAATCAAGCAGTAAAAAAAAAAAAGCCTTCTTAACTCTCAATATGACTAAGGAAACCAGACCTATAAAATAAGAAAGCAAAAGTGTATAACAGCAGAAAAAGGACGCTTAAAAAAAAAACAACTTAGCATTTGGGCATAGAAAACATATGAGAAATTCAGGCAGCCACTCTCTTTTGACCTTTAAGTGTACCTGAACCGGCCAGTGCAGGGACATCAGCATAGTGAGGCACAGCCCTGGCTGATGTCTGCACCAGTGATCCAGAGTTCCACCCATAAACTGTGAGGTTTCCAAATGGTTTGGGTGGTAGCTATAAAAGCTAACGCTAGTCTTTGCCAAGGTACTATTCTCAGCATTATACATCGCTTATTCATTTAATCCTTGCAACAATCTTAGGAGGTAATTCCAATTATTAGCTCCATTTTACAGATGGGGAAGCTGAGAAGCAGCACAGATTAAGTAACTTGCTCAAGGTCACAGAGCTAGTAACAGTGGAGCTGGTGTCCTAAGCTAGGCAGTCTGGCTGAGAAGTCTGCATTTTCACCACTGCATAACCAGCTTTTTCTGTACGGATGCTTAGATCTTGGACTAAAAAATTCTGGTAACTTTTCAAAATTAGTTTCCTTGCGAATTGGGATACCAAAGGAATAGGGGAGGCAGGACAATTAAATTGAGCGTACAGGTCTGGAAGCCGGCATACTCCATGTGCCCCTCCCTCAGGGCACAGTGAGGACCCAAACTTTGCAGGGTGTTGGTGGGATGTGAATGTATTCCAAGTGCACGGAGCACGTAGTCGGTGTGGAATAAATACTTATTTTCTTCTCTTGATAGAAGATAAAATTAGGGCTAAGACCTTAATGATTTTTCAATTAGTGTTCCTTCCAATGAACTACACTATATACTATGAATCTCCCCTAGACTGCAGTTTAAACACTGATGGGTGGTTGACCGTGAAACAGAAAAATGCAGCCAAGAAAAATGCAAGTCCCAACTCAAGCGGCTGTTTCCACAATCCGCTGGTGTCCAGAAAGACATGCAGAGTTCCACGATGTGGGATCTTCAAGGACAGCCCCAGTTCCCGTGACCCCGCCCCTCCTCTGCCCTAGAAACGGATTCCCCAGGCCGATCTTGCACAATTTGCCCCTCCTTGGTTCTTTTCCTTCCCTGTCCCTCTCCTGTCAGCATTAGCTAATGGCTGAGCTAAATGTGCCGGTCCCCACGGCAAGGGCGCGGAACGGGGACTGCACACTTCCGCCCCGCCTCGCCGCTGGAGGCCGTGTTCTACGGAACGGCGCGGCGGCCACAGGCCCCCAGCAGCGCCCGCAGTCGCCCAAGTCTGGAGGAAACTCAAGTCCCGGCCGCCATGGAGGCTGCGCGCAGTGCGCCCCGGGGAGCCCGCGCCACTCACCGGGGCGCTCTCGGGCAGGTTGTAGCGACACAGAGTGTGGTCCAGGTCGAATCCGACCACGTCGCAGGCAGCCAGAGAGAAGTGCTGAGCCATCGCTGCACGAGGAGCAACGCGGAGCACCTCGCCCCGGGAGGGTGCAAGGAGCAGGCGGGCGGGACGCTGCGGGACGGGACCCGGCCGGATGCGGCGGGGCGGGGCTGAGGTTGCCAGGGCACCAGGCGCCGCCGCCTCTCCCGCCTCCCGCGCCCTCCAGCACCGCCCCTGGATACGCTTAGCCCCCGCCCCTCGCACGGCCGGCGTCCTGCACCGCCCGGAGTCTGGTCGTTCGCGCTGCTTACCCCTGACACCCCAACACCGGCGCCCCTTGATGTGTCCCCCAAGCCTAGCAGCCCAGAAGGCAGGAGGGGCCCAGGAGCGGTGCCACTGCTGCGCAGCTGAGACCTGTAGGCCTTTAGCCCTTCCCAAGGGTTACCACAAAATTCACCTGGACTCTCCATCGCCTTCAGGGCCCCTCGGAAACCTGGAGATCCTGAGGTTAGACCTGACCTTTTACTTCTGTGTGCGGAATAGTGTAAGATGGTGGAAAAAATTCATCCGCTAATATCCCTCTGACCCAGTTAGCCGGAAATTTGGAAAGTCTTTTTGCCCACCTGATCTTTGATAGTGGGTTAAACTAAAAACTTTGTATTCCTTAGTTTCTTGAGTGGTAAAATGGAAGGGAGACCTTTCAGCTTTTCATACCCTGGAGTGTGTTAGCAAATAAATGTATCAGACATAGCGAAGAACCATTTTGCAAATTGATACTGGTTATAGAAACCAATATTGGTTATTACTTGATCATCTATTTTGTTATTGCAATGAAGAATTTTCTATGAGAAGACATTAGAAACTTCATAGAAACATATAGAGCTTATTGCAGAAAAAACTTTTGCAAACTGGTTTTAAGGTTTATGGAGCACAAAATAATTTAGGTGACGATTTGCTTAATTCTCTCAAGAACTGTGTACCTACTACCATTTTAGATGCAAAGAAAGTTAATCCATTACATGTCATGTATGCCGTAGGATATTTAATTCTCTTCGTGATTTCCGGATGTGAAGGACTAGCACTTTGAGATCTTTATTAAATAGTACCTCATTTTTAAAAGAAAGTACAAATCTATTATGTTTATATTGCTTCAGTTTTAAGTTTAAAGGAACACTTTGTTCAATGGGACAATCAATAGTCGTGACATAATGAAAATATAATTGATTGAGAATTGCATTTAACCCTTACAAATTCTAATCCTTTTGAAGCTAATAGACCAATCAGAGGATTAATTAAGTGCAATAGATAGTTCAATTGAGTAGGGGGACTCTTATTATACCTAGTGGATCTATTTGAATAAAATTGATAACTTGTTCCATTATAACACTTAAAAGCCCCAAACAAATCTCTCTAGAATAGGAAAAGTAAAGAATCTTCAAGAAGATTGAGCTATTCACTGATAAGTCCTACAAGCACGTCTTCAGTGTCTGTGAACCAAAAGAGAAAAGGCTGGATTGCTGAAGAGGCTGGAAAAAGCTTGTTGGCCCTGGAACATTGACCCTGCCCCCTGCAATAGAGTGCTACCTAAGTCAAACTTCCAGGTAGATGCCACATTGAAGGGCAGAGGTTTCCTTGGGGAATATCTTGTTTCCTGTGAGAATAGGTGCTGTTGGTACTTTAGGGACTTTCCTTAGTAATGCAAATGTACTAGTACATTCATTGTAAGAGGGAAGAGTATAAAAGGATTTTTTTTGTTGACTTAGCAAAAACTTCTCCTTACAAAACCTCTTGAGTATGCTGAATTATAAAGAGGAAATTCACTGGGAGTGGAGGAAGAGAGCAAACTGGGGCACTCCTAAGAAAAAAAGACCCCTGGATCTATAACCAAGTGGTCCTGGGCCTAGATTTGGCTGTTACTTGCACATCAACAATCGTATGTACTTGTTGAATAGCAAATTATGTATATTCTGCATGTTTACTCAAACAGTCCTTGTACTAGAGAGTCCACATCATTTAAACTTTGTGGGAGAATTTTGCAAATGATCCAATCCTGGAGGCTTGCACTCTTTCTTAAGCTCCACTTACCTTTCCTTTCTACCTCAAACCTCAGTCTGACTCTTCCAGAAATATAGAGGATGGTCCCCTTCTCTTCTGCCATTACCTACATAACCCTGAGTTTAAATACAAACACTAAGTTTAATTCTTTCATAAGGCTTATTTTTGGATAAGGATATTTCATTTTCCCTGTACATTAAACCTTTATCACATTTACTAATAAAATGCCACAGCTCTTGTATTATCAACCACAAGTTCAGTCTTCTACTCAGATACCAATTAATTTCTGAGTATCATGGACTGGATTTTGTCCCCCACTCATTCATGTGTTGAAGAGGTAACCTACAATTTGTCTGTATTTGACATAGGACCTTTAAGGAAGTAGTTAATGTTAAATAATGCCATAAGGGTAGGGCCCTAATCCAATAGGATTTGCATTCTTATAAGAGGAGGAAGAGACACCAGAGTTTGCAAGCACAGAAGAAAGGCCATGTAAGGAGCCACACTTCCAGCACTTTGGGAGGCTAAGTTGGGTGGATCGCTTTAGATAAGGAGTTCGAGATCAGCTTGGGCAACATAGACCTGTCTCTACAAAAAATACAGAATCAACCAGGTGTGGTGGCAGGCACCTAGAGTCCCAGCTATTCTGGGGGCTAAGGTGGGAGGATCTCTTGAACCTGGGAGATGGAGGTTGCAGTGGGTTGGGATCAAGCCACTGCACTCCAGCCTGGGTGACAGAGTGAGACCCTGTCTCAAAAAAAAAGCACCTTGATCTTGGACTTTCAGTTTCCAGAACTGTGAGAAAATGATTTTTTGTTGTCTAAACCACACATGGTGTGGTATTCTGTTAAGGCGGTCTGAACTAAGACAGTTAATAAGGAGAGTTGACTCTAAGCAGTGCTGTGTTGAATGTAGCAAATATTTGCTATTTGAAAGATCTGTAAAGGGCATGAACTTGGGTTTATGTTATTTGTTGACTTTTTAAAGTTGGTTAATTTTGCTTATGTGTAACATTAATACCATGCTGTGAAGTTTTAGGTTTTTTTTTTTTTGTTTTTAGTATTTCATGTCCTGTTTTTTCTTGCAGTTGTGAGTTATGTAATAATTTAGAAATATTCAGAAATAGGAAGTTATGTTACAGCTGTCTAGAATTGAATTTCATTATTACAGTTGACCGGCTTTTAATTAAGGTGGTACTAAAATTTAGCAACTTTAACCTTATGTGTGACTTGTGATCAGCTAGCTTAAGCTATAGGTTCCATAGTAATTCACTAACTGATCTTTTGTGAATTTATAATACTGTATTATAACATCTATATTGGAAATATTATTCACCAAACTGTGATTTTGAGCGGGAGGGAAATGGCCTATTTCTTTTTTCATTAGTTTAAAATATGCTTTTCTAAATACTCCTAATTAAACATAATTAAACATTATATTTTCAACATTTTATATAACCTAAGTCAATCTACATATCCTCTGTGGCACACATAATTTCTTTAAGGAGGAAGAAAAAAGTTCATTTACTAATTTGAAAAAAATTAGGAAATATATAAATTCCTAAAAATAAAACCATGGCCCTTAAATATTAGCCATTTAGCTACATAAAACCAAATACTTATTTGTAGTACTGTGCTGGGGTCTTTAGATGGCAGTAGTTCTGCATTAAGAATTTTTTTTTTTTTTCAGTAATCTTAAAATCTTTAAATTTCTTAATAAAAAAACCTTCACTCTCTACTCTCTTGATTTTCTACCCTGCTCTTGCCACAAGAAAAACAAGCCTACTTAGACATTTCACTGTTGTGTGTGTGTGTGTGTGTGTGTGTGCATTTATTTTTGACGGTGGAGAGGGAGGATGTAATGGGACAAAGTCCTTTGGTAGGAAACTTCTTATAAAGGTTGTGTCTAGATTTAAAAAAATGTTCAAAATATGAAATTAGTTCCTCTTGGATAGATATTAAGTGGCAGCATTGCAAATGGTAGAGCAATGAATTAAAATTTAATTAAAATAAATGTTAAGTTTTGCTTTAAGTTTCAAGTAATCAACTTGAATAATATATGATGGGGAATGTGATTTGCCAGCAGCTGAGTTGGAAACACAATATAGATAAACTCAAGATAAGCTCAGCTAGTTCCAGCTTAAACTTAATGCCTGTCACTTTCTAATACCTACCTTTTACTTTGACTGTTCTTTTGGGGGTGTGGGGCTTCTAAATTGCAGAAGGGCTAACATGCTATTGAGAGGTCTAGGGAGAGGATTTTGATCCTTGGTTAACAGCATCTATATACAGGGATTTTTCTGGACCAGACCATCTCTGGTGGTTTTGGGTTGCCTCTGGACACATTGTCAGTAACCACCACTGCTGCATAAACTCTAAAATGCTTCAGTTACAGTGATGTACAAAACATGTTTAGTTTTGACTCAAACCGTGAGACCACTTCAGGCCTGCCTTTCCACACTCAGCCAACTTCTGTACCTATCTTGCAATCACAGGAAACCTTTGGTTTTGGAACCACAGAAAAAGAAGATGCGTGTACTATGATGGGGGAAGGTGGGGACACTACCTCAGACCCTCTCTCTAGATGTGACCTGCTGTTCCTATTCTATTCACTGTCCCATATTGTCACAGGACACCCTGCAAAGCTGTTTTCTCTCAGAATTCCTAATGTGAATCAGGAACTAGTTTTCTCTGCTTTGGGATCCCCAAGCTCATGTTGGGAGTGCTGTTGTTTCCCATGCAGAGGATTTAACCTTGCAATGGAACAGGGTGTAGGACCCATGATAAGGCTCATTGTCATGCTCTTCATCCTGTTTATCTGAGACTAGCATTCATAGATAAAATACAGAATGCCCAATTAAATTTGAATGCCCCAAAGATTGTGGGACATTCTTGTACTAAAAATTTATCTGAAATTCAAATATATCTGAAATTCAAATTTAAATTGATATTCTACATTTTTATTTGCTAAATCTGGCAACCCTATGTGAAACAGGGACTCTGTATCCATTTTCAAACAAACGTTTTGGAAACCTTTTTGTAATTAGTATTTTGTTCTTTTAGAAGGAAAATCAAATGTGTCAGTCCAAAGGTCATATTTTAAAACTCTAACCCTCAGTATTTCATAATGTGATTATACTTGGTGATAGGGCCTTTGAAGAGGTGATTAAGTTAACATGAGGTGTTAAGGTTGGCCCAGATCCAATCTGTCTGGTGTCCTTATAAGAAAAGAAAATTTGACACATAAAGATATAGCAGGGATGCAAAAAGAGTATGTGAGGACACAGTGAGAAAGAAAGACCATGTGAAGCCACAGTGAGAAGGCAGCCATCTACAAGACAAAACAGGCCTCAGAAGAAACCAAGTCTGCTGACACCTT